GGGACTTAGGTCTCCAAGTTGTGACCAGATACTTGCAGTATTGAAATGAACTAATGATCATAATTATAAACCACTCAGGCCTTTTCATTTAATTTATGCATTACTCTCGACCTCTCAATCATTGTAACACTCTCTCAGTGAACCATTATTCTCCATTAATTAAATATGTGGTAGAAGACTATTTTTGGGGTGGAAGCAGTATTGTGTTCAACATGAGAGATGTCAGTGCTGGGATGGATTGGGACACCTTCCACATTTTTCATGCTGTACTGGCGTCACGCCTCACATGTATAGCACAGGTTGAAGGATAAGACCTCCCCTCCTCTGTCCTCACAATCTCATCTAATCACAAGCTTAGAACGTCATCCTTTACAAGACAGTGCATCATTATTTCCATTTCCCATTGTAACCATCCTTTTGACCTCTGAGTTGAGCCTGGAAATTACTCATCAATTAGTGCCACATTTTGGAAAGCTTTGTGATGTGGATTCACACTCATTTTTAACTGGGATTGAATCATCCCAAACTTCTGTTAATCAGAAAAGAAAAGAGAAAACTTTCTCCTCATCAGCTTGGCTTGATTGAAACCCATAATCCATATGCACTTTATGGATAATCTTTCATAACATAGTCTCTTTTTATATTAACTGAGAAGGATGCTGTGTGCCAACAAATACGTTTCATTGAACTGTCAGGTGTTTGCTTTACAGAGGCTGCTGATGACCTTAGAGGGCTACAAACGCAGATGTTCACAGCATGATGTTCCTTTTTTGGACAGCAAAGTTCACATCCAGCTGAGAAAAGTCACATGAAGCTGACCACTCGCAAGTTGTTTTGACGATAACAACTCTGATGTTGATTCCCTTTTCGGGAAACTTCCACCTGGAGTCACTGGTATCTCAGAAGCGCCTGTGCAACTGCATAGTGTGGGAACGCGTCAGTATCGACAATCAAACCAGTTATTATTTTGGAGGAGTAATAATCTCTCCAAAATAAATATAGAAATAAAAGAAAATTGTAGTCACTCAATCCATGACTGTTTGTGGGACAATGCTGTGCGTAATTGGCTGCTGTGTTTGGTTCACAAAATATATAGTCAATTTACTTCACAATATATTCTATGAAGCGCTTTGAGATGTCTCGACAACGTGATGAGGTGCTGTATCAAGTGTAAGGATTATTATTGTTAACACATCCAGCTCAGTCAGAAACAGTCAGGTATACTGGACCGGTACAAAAAAAGAATTCAGAAGCATTCTGTCTATAATTCCAAATCTTTATTTAAAGCATTCCAACAATAAAATTGATCATTATCACAGTTCATCTCCTCCTTCCCTGTTTAATTTCTTACTGGGCTTATAGAAAGGAGATTTGATAGTCTAGTGGGTTAACACATTGATGTTTCACCTCAGGGATGTGAGTTGCATCTTACCCCAGAATGATGGGTTGAGAATCTCTCTTCTCTTAGAGGCAGGAGCAGTACATTGAAATAGGGGCAGGCAATTTCACCCCAATTTCACTGTATATAATTACCCATAATTTCGTGCTAATTGGCGGGTTCATTGTGAAAGGCCATTAGGAAAGTAGGTGAATATACTGTAAAGTGGATTGAATGTGGGCAAAACACGGCAGCCAGTTACTCACAGCAATGTTCCAAGAACAGCTGTGGTGTTAGTAACCAATTTAATTTTTTTTATTTTTTAAAATTTATTTATTTATTTATTTATTTATTTATTTATTTATTGATGGATTGATTGATTGATTGATTGATTGATTGATTGATTGCCCAGGACACTGGAAGAAACTCGCTTCCCTTTTTGAATAATGCCATGGGATCTTTAAAGTGCACCTGAAAAGGCAGGTGGAACATCGGTTTAATGTCTTATCCGAAGACGGCACCTCCAACAATGCAACCCCCCCGCCCCCCACACCAGCACTGCATTGTAGTGTCATCTTAGACTATGTGATTCTATGTTGGAATTATAAAGCATGATAAAAGAAAAAACATTTTTCACAAACCTACTGAACTTTTAATGAGAAGAACTGCTTTGCTTTATATTTAAATGACACGGCTTTCATTGAATACGGTGCCTTATACTCCCTCCTCGTCCAAGATCCATCCAAATTCAGACAATAATAAAGATCCTTGCATTTGATTTAGCGCCTTGTCACATCATTCAGGCGTCTCAAAGCGTTTCACAGAAGATATTGTAAAGTGAATTCACTGCATATTTTGTGGGCAAAACATGGCAGCCATTTGCGGAGAGCAGTGTTCCACAAACAGTCGTGGATTGAGCGATCAAATCTTTCGTTTGAATTATTTAGCGATCCGCCAATCGAGATAAATTAGCTACTCATTTTTTTTTTTGCTGTTTGTGAAAACCACAGGTTAGCTGCCGGGTTTGCCCGTACAACAGCGATATTTACTTAATTTCCAGTGCGGTGACTCCGTATGGTGTGTACAGCAAAGTCCCATAAACAGCCATGTAGAGTGAGTGACCCATTTAAAAAAAAATGACAATGAAAGTTGGCTGTATAAATGCGAGGCGTTGACGATGTAATGTCTTAAAAGGCCTCTGGCACATTTGTTTGTTTGTTTGTTCGTTTGTTGTTTGTTTGGACATTTGTTGCAGAGCGAGCCCAGCAATTGATGCGCCCAGGCAACGTCTGGCAGTGAAACTATGCCAAGCGAGGTACGATACACTGCCACGAGCCATTCCATTTCGTTTCGCCCGCAAAGGTACGGTCAGTTCGCTTTGCGGTCTATTCTGTGAAGCGCTTTGAGATGTCCCGAAGACGTGCAAAGCGCTGGATCCAAACGCCAGAGGATGATTGTGTTATTAGTAGTCGTTGTGGTTAGTAGTGGAAAGTCATTCTGTGGTCTGACTGTGAGGTATCACCGACTTGGGGCGTTCCCCCTCGAAACTCCCAACACCCCCCACATCTATCTGCCCCCCAAATTTGGCTCAACGTTTGAGAGAGAAGGGGGAATCACCCCCATGAAACGCCCCGTAGGTAAATTATTATTATTATTGTTACTCTTATAGTATCAGCCACAAAAACACTGCTACTCTCTGACTCTGTGAAAGTCGGATAACGTGGGCGGAATTCTCCACCGTTATTGCCGGAGATTTACTGAGATTTTTGAGGCTATACATCTTACCGACTTACCTGGTTAGAATAAATGGTGTTGCGCTGGAAGGGGGGGGGGGGGGGAGAGGGAGAGAGAAAAATATAACAAACCAAACGATTGATTCACTCACTGCGCCATCAAATAACTTTGCGAAATAGGATGTGAAAATATCCCATTTAAGTAAAATATATATAAAAAACATAGGAAGGAGGGGAAGAGGAGAGAGATAGAGGGGAGGTGGAGGAGATAGAGGGGAGGAGGAGAGAGATAGAGGGGAGGAGGAGGAGGAGAGAGGTAGAGGGGAGGTGGAGGAGATAGAGGGGAGGAGGAGGAGAGATAGAGGGGAGGTGGAGAGAGATAGAGGGGAGGTGGAGGAGAGAGATAGAGGGGAGGAGGAGAGAGAGGGGAGGAGGAGGAGGAGAGAGAGAGAGGGGAGGAGGAGGAGAGAGATAGAGGGGAGGAGGAGGAGAGATAGAGGGGAGGTGGAGGAGATAGAGGGGAGGAGGAGAGAGATAGAGGGGAGGAGGAGAGAGAGAGGGGAGGAGGAGAGAGAGAGAGGGGAGGAGGAGGAGAGAGATAGAGGGGAGGAGGAGGAGAGATAGAGGGGAGGTGGGAGGAGATAGAGGGGAGGAGGAGAGAGAGATAGAGGGGAGGAGGAGAGAGATAGAGAGAGGGGAGGAGGAGAGAGAGATAGAGGGGAGGAGGAGAGAGATAGAGAGAGGGGAGGAGGAGAGAGAGATAGAGGGGAGGAGGAGAGAGATAGAGAGGGGAATCACTCGGTTGTGTCAAAAACCTTTGCTGAGATGGGGTGCGGGCAAATCAAGTCATCTTCCGCGGTGGTGGGGGCTCCGAGAGGCGAGTGGTAGTGGAATGGACAGAGAGAGGTGGGGCTTCTGAAACTCCATCTCATTCATTCATCATTCATTCATTCATCCTTTGGGGAGGGAGGGGGGAGAGGGGGGAGAGGGGGGGGGGGGGGGGGGGGGGAGAGGGGGGGACACGAATGACGCAAAGAAAAGAAAAAACCCTTCTGGACCATTCACAATGCGAAGACAGAAGCGCCAGAAACAGTCATCGGGTTTGGGTCCGACTTGGAACTCGCCAGTGGCGAGTGAGTGAGTTGGTGACTGAGTGAGTTGGTGAGTGAGAGACCCCCACCTCCTCCTCCTCCTCTCTTTCTTTCTCTCTCTCTCTCTCTCTCACCCTCCCTTCCCTTTCTCTCTCTCGCTCTCTCCCTTCTCCGGTGTCTTTCTGTGCCACAGCCACCACCAACCTCACCCACCCCACCCTCACCCACCCCACCACCACCCTCACCCACCCCACCACCACCCTCACCCACCCCCCCCACCCCTCTCTCACCCACCACACCCCCTCACCCACCCACCACCACCCTCACCCACCCCCTCTCACCCACCACCACCCTCACCCACCCCACCACCACCCACACCCACCCCCTCTCACCCACCACCACCCTCACCACCCCACCACCACCACCCCCTCTCACCCACCCCACCACCACCCTCACCCACCCTCACCCACCCCACCCACCCTCACCACCACCACCCTCACCCACCCCACCACCACCCTCACCCACCCCACCACCACCCTCACCCACCACCACCCCCTCTCACCCCACCACCACCCTCTCTCACCCCACCACACCCTCACCACCACCACCCTCACCCACCCCACCACACCTCACCCACCCACCCTCACCCTCACCCTCACCCACCACCACACCCTCTCACCCCACCACCACCTTCACCCACCCCATCACCCCCCTCCCTCCCTCCCTCCCTCCCTCCCTCCTCGGGACACGACAAGACTTTGTAACAAAGCGCCCCCCCCCCCCCCCCTGGCCGCCGGCATGTTGGCCATCCGGGCCGCCATCATCTTCCTGGTGTCCAGTCGCAGTTGGGGGGCGGGGGGTCCGGGCGGGGAGGCCGCTCGCTTCGTCTGCACCGCCATCCCTCCGGACGCCGACCCTCCGTGCCCCGTCCCCGGCCCCGCGCTGCCCCTCCAGGGCGGCGCCCCCCCTCCCCCTCCCCCGCCGCCGCCGCCGGAGCGGGAGCTGCGGGTCAACGTGGCGCAGCTGCGGGAGACCGTCGTGCGGCAGCGGGAGACGCTCGGGCACCAGAAGGAGACCATCAAGGAGCTGACCGCCAAGCTGACCAGGTGCGAGGCGGCGGCGGGAGAGGGCGCCCGACTGGACGGCGCCAAGTACGGGGCTTCCCGAAGGAAACCGTTGGCCAAGAGCGGCGGGAAGGACACCATGGGGGACCTGCCCCGGGACCACAGCGAGGTGGTGGATCATCTCGGCAGGACCATGCAGGCGCTCAAGGACAGGCTCCAGGCTCTGGAGGTGAGGGCGCCGAGCTGGGCTTCAGCCTAACTAACTAACTAACTAACTGACTAACTAACTAACCAACTAACTGACTGACTGACCATCTAACTGACCATCGAACTAACTAACCATCTAACTAACTAACCAACTAACTGACTGACCAACTAACTGACCATCTAACTGACTAACTAACTGACCATCTAACTAACTACCCAACCAACTAACTGACCGTCTAACTGACTAACTAACCGACCATCTAACTAACTACCCAACCAACTAACTGACCAACTAACTGACCATCTAACTAACTAACCAACCAACTAACTGACCAACTAACTGACCATCGAACTAACTGACCAACTAACTGACCATTTAACTAACTAACCAACTAACTAACTAACTGACCATCTAACTAACTAACCAATTAACTAACCAACTAACTAACTGATCATCTAACGAACTAACTAACCAACTAACAAACCATCTAACTAACCAACTAACTAATTAACAACATGCTTTGACTTTGTTTTGCAGGGGGTGGAGTTGGGGGTAAAGGAGGAATCGTTTGTCACGTTGAGATGTCTTGTAAACCTGATGACAAAAAAAAGTGTGTGGGGGGCGACGAGGACTGTTAGAGTAATAATAACGATGAAAATAAAGATGGGGATCAGTTCCTGGAGGAAGTGGGGAGAGTCAAGTAAAAGTGGGGGGTGAGGACCAAGTGGGGAGGAATCACGCAGCCCTTTTATACCGAGCCTCGTGAGAACCTCGTGGTATACACACAACATAACAAGTCGATTCACTTTGCGGCGTAGCCCGCGTAGGCGCTCTGAGACGCCGAGAGCCGCTGTCTCAAATGCAAGGATTAATAATAATAATTAATAAGAATAATAATCCTTGCATTTGACATGGCGCTTTTCACGTCTGCTCGAAAGCGTCCCGAAGCGCTTCCCAGAATCGACTGTAAAGTGACTTGACCGGATACTTGTGATGCGAAATTGTTGGGCATAATTATTATTATGATTGCGGATTATTATGATTTGCAGATCAATACGTGGGTGAGGGGTAAGGAAGTGGGTGGGGTGGGTGGGTGGGGGGGGTGCAGATTAATCTTTATTATAGAGTGTTTTAAAATAAAACGAAGAGAACACACACTGAAGCTCAACAACAATTTGCCGAATAACGAGCAGAGGAAGAGGCGCAAATCCACATGTTCAACAACAACAAGAAGATTCCTTTCACGTCGGGAGGACATCCCAAGGGGCTGGACAGTTGGGTCAGGACCCGAGCAGTGGGGGGGGGGAATGGTCAGGGTGAGGGGAGGGAAGGGAGGGAGCGAGGAGGGGGTAGAGAGTCGAGAGGGGAGCTGAAGGCTCGGTCGAAGAGAAAGGTCTTGAGACCGGCCTTGAAGGAGGAAAGGGAGGAAGCGAAGGCGAAGGCATTGGGGGATGGAGCTCCAGAGCCTCGGGGCTGAGAGGCTGAAGTTCAGTGAGTGGAGCTGTCTCTGGTGCTGAATTAACTGTCGGCTTCTTCTGCTCTTCTCTCCTGGGGTGGACCTAACCTCGAGACAAACTTATGATAAACTTGACAATCGAAACTAATCTTACAACCGTCATTGGCACAAGGAGAGAGGGAGGGAGGGAGAGAGAGAGTGAGAGTGAGTGAGAGAGAGAGAGAGAGAGTGAGAGAGAGAAAGAGGGATTAAAAACAAAGTATAGATGAGAATATTGCCAGAGAATATTTCTGAATCAGAACAAAAAAAACGAGCAAATCAGAGCAAAATAAGCACGTTAGCTGCACGTAGCTATTACGTTAAGCAAAAAATTAAGGTAATGTCAGATGACTGATGCTGATGTTTGAAGAGCAACACATTTATGTTGTTGTTATCCTTGGGGGTCACATGTTTACCACGTTTTTAGCTGTTACTAATCGGTGATTATCAAATGCAAGGATTATTATTAACATAACTCCCATGATCGAGAAGAAGAAGTAGGGCATCGTCTTTTTCTGAAATGTTGAGAGGTATGAATGGAATAGCGTGTCCTGCAATGATATTCCTTCAGTTTACCAAATTAAATGTATTTTACTTTCAGATCAAACAGGGCGTCTTAGTACAGCACATCTTTGAACGTAGACGGTCAAAAGGTGTTAAAAGGTGTCGGTCTGGTTCAGTTGGTAGAACTCTTGCATCTGTCAGAAGGTTCTGGGTTCTGAGAACTCACAGTCTCGGTTGACATTTCCATAGAGCGCTGGGGTAGTACTGCATTATTAGAGGTGCTATTTAAAAATAATTAAACCTTCGGATTAATGCTATTAAAAATAATTAAAACCAACGATGGCATCACTCGTGATATTACAATCAATTTTCTTCTTTCTTTTCAATCTGTGGGCCCTGAAGACATTTTTAAGTCAGCTATGTTCTAAAACAACCAGAAACCCGTGCTACAGTGTATCCGAACTAAACTATCATGTTTGCATATATGCGTGGGCATTTCTGTTTGTCTGAAATGGAAGGTGCATTCTCTCCCAGAGGAATGTATTCTGCTAACCGGTTCCCAGAAAGTATTAAGGACTGATTAGCAAGAGCCAAGGCTTCAGGAACCCTAGAGTGTGCATTGGGTTACTGTTGTAATAACCAGCTAACGTGGTGCATTTTGCTTTTGGGAACACTGTCCAGCAAGCTTCCTGCTGCTTGTCCAGTTGGAATCATTTTAGCTTGTAGAAGTAACAGCAGCTAAGAGGGAAGAATCCTAACCCCTTGAAGCCATTAGTGGGGGTTACTGGCTTGTCACTCATTCTGAGTATGCAAAAACGCAATCACCATGGAAAGTTAATGCCAGAACACCTCAGGCCATGATTATCTTTACTAAATCTATGCTCCCCACAATGTAGTGATCAGGACCTTCATCAATTCAGCACCTCCTGATAATTCCATTGACTTTTTGAAAGAACAGCAAGTTTGTCTCAGTATTTCAAGTGTCCACAGCCATAAAATATTATACAGCCCACAACTACAAAATGAATTACGTACTAAGAATTCATGCATTCTTAATTCTTTTTGTCATTCTGATGCTTTCAGGCAACCAAAGTATGTATTATTGATTTTTTATTCAAGCACAGTGTTGGCTCATTCTGAGAATATTCACTGATATGGAAGAATAGAACATTTTATACTTTATTGAAACTGTGTGACTGCCCATAGCCGAATTACTGTATTAAATTTACTGACCAGTTTGGAACTGCGTCATGCAGACCAGAAAAGCTTTTGGTCGAATCCCTCATCTATAAAAAGGTTAGGTCATCTCAGCTGGGAAATATTGGAGTTAGAAAAATGCCATTTGAGAAACTGAGTATATTCAGTTGTATAATGCACTCTCAGCCATCCATTACACTCTCTGTATTAAACAAATATATAGCCATGTGTAAATTGGCTGCTAAATTTGCCCACAAAATACAGTCACACCAATTTACGGTATATCCTTACACCAGTATACCGTATATGCTCACTTTGAGACATCTCAACAATGTGATAAGGTGCTATATCAAATGGAAGTATTATTATTAGCATTATTTATTATCCAAGTATTGATTTGTGGTGGGTTTGCAGCTGAATTGTAATCAAACTACTGAACAGTAAAGTGCATTAGTATTTCAAGCTGAATGCTTATTGTGTTGATGCTTTGGTTCAATTTCTTTATATTTGTGTCTGTGTTTTTCATTTCCAAGCAACAGCAGTCCCGTCCCAATCTTTCCAATGTTGTTTTCCCGACTGACCTCCGTGAACAGCTTCAGAGGAAACTAGGAGAATTAGAGAGTCAACTTATGAACAAAGTCTTGGAACTTGAAGATGATAAATTTACACTTCAAAATGAAAGTGCGTCACACCGTTTTAGGACAGAATCCGCTTTGAATGCCTTACATGAAAGAGTTACAGAATTGGAAAAAGGTACTGATCGAGCATGGCAGGTGGAACTAACATGTGGGGAGGAGGAGTGAAGAATTGAATCATCTAACTAAATTGATCTGAGATGACCGAATTGAGAATTGCTCAGTTCTGACTTTTTCTTCACATTAATGTTCCTGGTACAATGGTCTTGAAAATAATATCCATGCACTGAAATCTTGGTGGAATGGTGCCAATCTATTTATGCATGCTCACAAGTAGTATTAATACTCTACATTTTGGGGCTACTGAGAATCAGCTAGGTGATATAACACCAATCACTAGACTAAGCCTTACCTTGGACATCTTATATTTCAAAGACATGGAGTCCTGTAGCTCAGTGGTTAGAGCACTCGCTTTGCAAGTGAGAGACCTGAGTTCAATTCCAGGCAGAGGGCGAAACCTTGGGCAAGTTTCCTTACTCCACACAGAGCCTAATAATAATCCCTCCAAAACCAAAAACAATACTAAATTGGTCATTTTCAATCTACGACTGTTTGTGGGACATTGTTGTGCGCAATTGGCTGCCGCGTTCACCCACAAATATACAGTCAATTCACTTTACAGTATATTCTGTGAAGCGCTTTGGGACGTCCTCCCGACTTGAAAAGCACTATATCAAATGCAAGGATTATTATATTATAAATAAATTCAATGTAATTAATTAATTTCCCTCTGCTTTCAAGAAGACTACAAACATATGATATTCTCATTAAGTGTTTCAACAGCAATTGTAATTACATTTTGCAAGGTGAAGATATTTTTAAATTGGGGCATTCAATGTCTTATACAGTCACGTATCTTCTATGACTCCAAGTGTTTCGTAAATCATTCTTTAAAATGCTGCTTTTAGCTATACAATTGGAAGAAATTAACTTTAATAATGTTCTAATGTTCTTAAATTGAGAGGTTATAATTTGCTAAAAATATTTTTCTTTCCTCAAATAGGAACAAATGCCTTTAAGTCGCCTGATGACTTTAAGGTATCACTGCCATTGCAAACCAATTATCTCTATGCCAAAATAAAGAAGAGCATTCCTGAGATGTACGGCTTCACTATCTGCTTGTGGATACGGTCCAGAGGTTCATCTGGCATCGGAACTCCCTTCTCTTACGCTGTGCCAGGACAAGCAAATGAAATTGTTCTGATTGAATGGGGAAACAATCCAATTGAATTACTCATCAATGACAAAGTATGTGGTCATTACCATTGTTGATAATTTTAAATAATGAACTCATGGTGCCTTGGGTGTTTCTATTAAAAATAGTGAACGTTTAATCAGGTTTTACATTTTACATATAGTTTACAGTATATTATTTAATTTCTAACGTTACTAATTTACACTTAGCTACAGCATCTTATGCTATGCTGCTTCGTGCGGCACAGTCTAATTCAGATAAAGGACTTAACAAAGAATGTCTAAAAAAAACTTGAATAATATAGCGACGGTCATTGTGATGAGAGATTTAAAGATGTTGACTAAACAACAATTGGATAGATTCGAGATTTTAATGGGAGTGTGTCATTAACATCCCCTCTCCCCTCATCATCAGTTTGAGTAAACAGATCCCAGTTGATGTACTGCACTTGCCTACAACTTCTGGGTTAAGGACAGAAAACTCCTTATTCCGAATCACTATCCAGTAACCTATGGGGATACATTTGTATTGAGGTTAAGAAAGGGTCAGCTCAGCTGTGAATTGCCCGATGGCCAAATAGACGGCTGATGCTCACTGTCTATTCTCTCACATGAATAATATCAATTTCTCCGAATACTGTTGATGACTAATGCCTGAAAAATCATAGTAGGAAGGAAAAAGGAATCAAGGAAGAAAATACACAACATTTTGGCCAATAATTATATGATGGGATTGAATTGGCAGATATCAACCGCTCAATTTTTCTTTCATGATTTATGAAGTAATTTGAACTTTTAATGAGATTTTTGCCTGAGATTCACTGCCAGGAGTCAATCATTCTCTCTCGAGCTGAATCCAATAGGTTTATAGTTGAAAGCGGTCAATATGACTCATGAAAACAGATTTCATGTTTTCATGAATTCAGCAACGAAACTTTGGGAGAATGATTGAACTGAAAATATTTTTTTCCCAATAGGTTGCTCAGCTGCCGATGACTATCAATGATGATAAATGGCACCATATTTGTGTAACATGGTCCACCAGAGATGGCATATGGGAGGCTTATCAAGATGGAGAATTACGTGGCAGTGGAGAGAACCTGGCACCTTGGCATCCAATCAAGCAAGGTGGCATCCTGATCCTGGGCCAAGAACAAGTAAGTGGCACAATCTGATAAACTGAGGTCTGCAATACAGACAAGCAGAGAAACATCAAGCTTACATCAATGTTTGGCCCACAAAATACACAATCGATCTACTTTTCAGTATATCCCGTGAAGCGCTTTGAGATGTCTCAACAATGCGATAAGACATTCATCAAATGAAACGATTATTATTATTTTTTAATCGTCTAAAACAATTCTTAACACTTTGATGTTTTGCTCACATCTCTGTTTGTGCTTTGACCAAAACAGCAACAATCGTCAGAACCACACAACATACTACCTGTTACAGTATGCTCTGGGGTGGACTCCTATAGATTTAACAGACAAGCATGGATTTCTTTGTTTCATCAACATCTCACCAGGGTTGTAAAATTAGCAGTTTTGTTATTTCTCCTGGATATTGCTTATGCCAGAAATATCAATATCTGTTGATGGGGAGGAATGATGAAACGAAATTGACATAAATGCCAATGCTTTATCACAGTAAAGAGCTTCAGGGACAAACCATCTGACTTGCATTTTAGAAACAAGATTTATATTTGCATTGCTTAATAATTTTAAGACATTTTACAATAGTTATTCACCGGAGCAGAAAGTAGACATCCCAAAGTGCATTTCTTGTTTCTCATAGCTTTTAGCTGTCGGCCAATAATTCATGATTACATTATTTTTATAGTGATACCTAAATAAAGGGATGAGGCCTATAGTACAATACATTACCGTGCTTGACAAGAGTTGGAGAGAGAATTAAATTAACAAGCAAGGTTGTTTTTTAAAAGTCCCTCTGGGGAAAGAGTGCACATTCCATTCCAACAACCGATCTCTGGAATTTCCATATGTGGGTGAAATGCACGGAATTCTCAGTTTGGCTCGGATACTCTTAATGGGCGATGGGTTTCTGCACCCTCTGACCAAAAAATAAAAGCCCGTAGATGGTAGAGGGAAGAGAAGGCTAAGGGAGGTCCTGAGAAAGAAAGAGTAGGAGAAAATTATGACTCTTGATTTTAATGCAATAAGAATGCAAGAAGAAGAGATTTGTAAATTGATGATACATACTACTCAAATGATAGTAATTAATCATTTGCATGTAATTTATTTATACAGGACACCATAGGTGGGAGATTCGATGCCACTCAAGCTTTTGTGGGTGAACTCAGTCATTTCAATATATGGGATCGGATCCTGAGCTCAGAGGATATCATGAGCATTGCCAACTGCTCTGCCAACCTGGCCGGCAACATCATTCCATGGGTCGACAACAACATCGATGTGTTTGGTGGAGCAGCCAAGCTGCCACTGGAGACTTGCCAAGAGCGCTTAAGCAGCTCGTGATCACTGTCAGAATTCACATAAGTGCCCCATTTTTGCAGAGACGACTTTCTCTTCAGAGATTAAATGCGTCATCGAGTACCTTGTTCCCCAGGTGATTCTCCAGCCCCTTTGAGGGAGCAATCAGTGTAGGTTCCTTTTTTATTTTGGGGAGATCATTGGAAATCATGCTTAAACACGCAAGCATCCGGGAAGCTGGCGGTCATACCCTGTATCCCTTGGAAGTTAACATTTGCTTTCAATTTTTTTGCTGGTTAGAAATATTTGCTTTCCATATGAATTTGTAATAATTGCAGACAACAGTTCATCTGGGGTAAAGATTCTGCAGAAACATTCTTGCAGTAAGAAGCATCTTAAATGGGATTTAGGTTAGGAGAAAAAAAACACCAGTGCAGACGTGCTGGGCCAAATGATCCGTTTCTATGCTATTACATTCACTTTCTCGCACAGTATCTTCTTAGGCCATTTAAAATAAAACAAAACATTTTCAGGCAACCATTTAGTGACATGTTGAAGGAAGAGTGTTCTGTTTAGCTTCAATCATTTGTTAACATTTCGTGAATGTATTTGAATATTTGAAACGTAAATCTCATCAAAATAGTAATAAATAATAATAATCCTTGTATTTGATATAGCGCTTTTCACGTCTTCTAGGCGTCTCAAAGCGCTTCACAGAATGTTCTGTAAAGTAAATTGATTGTATATTTGTGGGCGAAACGCGGCAGCCAATTGTGCACAGCAGTGTCCCACAAACAGTCGTGGATTGAGTGACCAAATTATTATTTTATTTTGTTTCTTGAGGGATTATTATCAGGTGTGTGGAGTAAGGAAACTTGCCCAAGGTTTCGCCCTGCCGGGAATTGAACCCAGGTCTCTCGCTTGTGAGGCGAGTGCTCCAACCACTGCTCACAAATAGCAAATATGGCTTATTTGTGTGTTAAAACGGGGGTGAGAATTTGAAGTGGACCTTTTTTTCTTAGATTAAAGTGTATCACTTTTAAATATTACAAATTAGGAAGAGTTGGGAATGATTTATTTATTTGACTGGATGAATGGCCTTATTGAGCACTTAGTACCAAAAGTCCTTTTTTTAATCCATCTTTGTGACAAAAGCTTTTAAAACGTATCTGGATAAGGGTGTCATCTGTCTTTCACCAATCTCTTGTTCTTTTGGTGAGGCAAAAAAGGATGATTAGAACAGGAAAATAGATGGGTAAGAGGAATGAGCAAAGTTTTGGCAGAATATTTAGCTCCAGTGGACAAGGTAGCAATGTTTCAGGCTGGACCTCCCTCCAGTCCTGTAATTTAATGATTTTAGTCGATCAATCACAAATGGCCAATTCTGTTCTGTGTTCATTGCACAATAAGTCTTGTCAGTGTACCTGGGAGAATTGCAGATTATTGTAACAGTAATCCAAAATACTTCACACTTAACCCATAGGAAATCACAGAACACCCCTCCCCCCATTCAGCCTCTCAGTTATAATTTATAATAATATATAATGATATATTATAACCGTCTAAAGTTGACAAAACACCTTTAAAATCTATTTGAAATATTGAGACTGGGGAATAATGCAGAGACAGGTATATGAGTATGATAGAGTTTCAGACTGAAAAGTGTCTATTGCATTTCTTGAAATGTAGTTGACTGGATCAGAGGAGGAGAGGGAATTCTTTGCCCAGTGAGAAAGACTATTGCAAATTAATTTAAACGAGTTGATCGCCTGAAACAAGGCAGAATTTGATGAGCGAGTGACACTTACCCAGCACTGTCAAGTTGCAAGCGTGCATGGAACGAAAGGGAAAACTGGGCTAGGGTAATATTTCACATCTTACATTTTTCCAGCCGAGCAATGTCGCCAAGGATTTAGGAATCAGATTGTTTGGTTGAGTGGATCTTGATGTCATGCGATTGGGTTTAAGTAGGTCTGCGTTAACGACAGATGTCTGGTGCCCCTGACACTTGTCTGTCTTGGCAAGTGGAAATCGGCCTAAAGTAATCACTATTTTGTTTTTAAGAAAAACTTTCACAATTCAGCATTAGAAAATGACGAGCCAGGAAGCCTGTAAAAACTAGAAGTTAATTTGGTTGCTCTCTCTTTCAATGAATTCTCTTCTTTTGACGCACCGTTTAAACCACAGCCGCTGACTTAATGGATCCAAACTACAGCGCTTTGCTTGCACCATTTGCAAGGTGTAAGAATAATCCGATTCTTTTAATTACCAGACCTGGTTTCACCCTTTCTTCAAGTAGACTGTGGCTGGAAGTTAATCCTCACTATTTGTAACCATTACCAGGTGATGCTGTCACAGATCGGAGATGGATGCATTCCAGATTGACTTAAGATCTAAAGCCTGGTGGTTTGCACACATCTGATTGTATAGGTTTGTTTTCCAACCAGGGTCCATCCCGAGCACTTGTATATTTTGCGCAATATTTTGTGCAAAATTTCCCCCCCCCATTTTGTGCAATATTTCCCCCCCCACCCATTTTGTGCAATATTTCCCCCCCCCCAGATCATTTAATTCTATCTGTTCTGCAAAAAGCAATGGGAATTGGACAAAACAAGGACAACAATGCATGCTGAAACGTAGTACAACATATCATCGGTGGGAGAGGAGAGGAAGATTTTTAAAAGTTATTAAAAATTCTGTGCGTGTTTCTGTATAAAATAAATAAAGCTGATGTGATGTACAGTTAATGTGAGCTCAAAGCAGACATGTTTTGTTTGAATTCGTTAAATGGTTTTAAGCCTCAGTTCCTCGTTTCCTTTTTTTCTTGAAGGGTTCCTAAAAGCACTTTCCTCTCTTCGTTTGTGCTGGTTTGTTTCATTTATTTTCTTTGTGAAAATGTTATCATGCAATTATTTTGTGCTGTGGCTGCACCGCACACTTTGGGGATAATCTCTGCAGTTATTCCATAATCTGTTCCTTGTTTTAACACAAGGAATGTGACAATGAACCCAACAAATGTTGCCCCGTATACCCTGCTGTGAACCTTGTATTGTTCATAAAAAAACAGATTTTTAGTTTCTAATTTGTATTTTGTGATGTTTCACTCCATTGAGTGTGTATACTGTACACATATCCTCATTTTGATGTTTTTGCATTCAAATAGTTGTCATATCTTTGAAAAACACACACAAACAGAATAAAGATGGGAATGTTAAATTAGTACCTGATGTTTTAACCCACATGTCCACGTTCCTTCATTTCGATGAAATAAGCAGGCACAAAGTTATGGAATACTCTGTGTTTAAAAAAAACTGCCAATTACCGCTCATCTCAAATTGTTAACTCATGCTGAGATACAGTGCTAGGGTTACTTTGCTTTGACCCTTCTCTATGTGTTATGTGTTAGTCTGGCATTGATCGTTGGCAGTCTGCTCAATCTTGGAGGGTATCACACTTGAGCTGTGTTAAGATAGAACCATGGAGTCAAATAATCATGCACAAATTAGCTGCTGAGTTTGCCTTCAAATACACCTGTGAAGTGTTTTCAGACATTTTGACGAGACAGGGCAATATCAAATGCAGGGATTGTTGTTATAAATCTCGGTATCATTCACTAGTGTGGCAGGCAGAGAAAACTGCTTCTTTATTGGAGGCTTCAGTGCATTGTTTCTTGTGAGGACGAGGGAGTAAAGAATGGGGAGAGACGAATATGAACCTTCACAATCAGGTCTGTTCAAAAGCTTTTAACCCAAACTTTGTGCATGAGTAAACACTTCGATATGTGTTCAGGGGCTGGAGGGTGTGCATCTCATTTCTGATTTAACTTCAGAGGAATAGTAATCCTTTCATTTGATATCGGGCCTTCGATATTGGGAGGATGTCTCAAAGTGCTTCATCGGATTCACTATAAAGTGTAGTAACTTGCTGTAGATGAACAAGGTAACCAATTTATGACAGCAACGTCCCACAAACATCTGCGAAGCGAATGACCATTTTTATCTGGGGGAATTGTTGGCCGATACATCAGGAGAAATTCCTTTCTATTTTTGAATAGTGCCTTGGCATCTTTAATGTCTACCTGAACAGGCAGTCGGTTTAACATCCCATCCGAAGGACAGTGCCTCTAACAATACAGTGCACCCTCAGCACTGTATTGAAGTGTCAGCCAAGACTGAGTTCAATGTGACAGAATGACTGATTACCAAAGGCAACGCTTTCAATGTCCTGACAGTTTATTAGATCACGGCAGATCTTTCAATCCTATTTCCACACCTTTTCTCTGTGTACCTTTACTTCTCAAAATACTGATCTATCTTTTAAACATGTTAATTACTTCTGAGATCAGTACATTATACATTCTCACAACCCTTTGTGCTAGCTTGTTCCTGGATTGAGTTATCGTTAGTTTCAAATTCCTCTTCTAATCAAGTGCATATAGGGCAGGATGGGGAATGGGACAAGCACGTAGCAAACCCTAAGCAATAATAGCTGCTGCAAAAGAAATGGTCAATGCCTGACCATCTGCCTTGGAGTAAGGAATATAGCCTAGCAGACTGGATAATAACACATGTAACTCAACTTGCATAGAGCTGCTATGTTTGATTCATTCCACACAACTGAAACTAGTTGTAAAAGTGGGGTTCCCACCTGTTTACCTGTCTTCATTAGAGCCCAGCCTGGTCAAATATTTTGGCATCCTCCTTTCAGTAATAGATGCTATTTGTTCTGTCGGATTTTGCTCACATTTACAGTGTGCTGTGCTTCATTGGGTGCAGAATAAATGAAAACTATTACCACAGAGTAAATCCAAAACAGCCTTTCTTGTTGAACTCACAAAAATAATTAAAGGCAAGAATAGTCTTTGCACAACAGCTGGAACGAAATGAGGAATTTTCTGCCACAGATTGTTGTTTTAGTGGAGCATTATTTTAAGAGGGAATTGGATAGATATTTAAAAATATATATTTTGAAGTGGTCGAGTAAGTGAGCGAGACTAGATTAATATGAATTAGATAGAGAAACATCAGTACAGGGCGAAAGGCCTGCAAAAAACATAAATTATATGATTGATTTATCTGTAGGATTGTCGTCCAGGACACTGGGAGAAACTTTCTGCACTTTTCGGATAGTGGATCTTTAACATCCACCTGAACAGGTAAATGGGACATTTAAGATTGAAAGTCTTATCTAAGAGGATGGTAAATCCAGCAATGCAACATTCCACCAAACACAGTACTGGAGAATATTATACAACAAGAACAACAAGATTACATTTGCAAAGCGCCTTTCACGTCGGGAGGACGACCCAGAGATTATAGTATAATAATCTCTTTTTATTATAGTATCTTTTATTTGGTTAGATAACACAGCAGAGACCAACTACTTTAAGTTCCTTTGTTCTAATAAATCTACGTTAGAATTGAATTACGTACCACTCGAGTCAAGGAAAAACCCACCATCTTTTTGTTCTCCCCTTTGAATTCACACTGATCCTATATTTTCGCTTGGCAGAAACTGTTTCAACTTTCAAAGGAGGAAATTAATTTGGGAAGGAAATTGAGCATCGCTTTAGTTACAGACAAAAGAGCTGCTCATTGGGAGTAGGATCGGATGCCA